ACAGCAGTGCACTAGAATCTCCTTTCAATTTCCCACATTGCACAGCTTGTTGGTGTGCTATATGCAGTATTTCATAAGTGAAGAGCTTACTTGGGACATACGTAGACGGCGTGCCCACGGACTGTTTACTGACCGCCTGTGTATTGCACACAAAAAATGTCAAGAGCTTTCTCAAACGTTGAGCTCCAATCTGATTGCTTGGCTTGACGCAATTTCCGAAAGTCAGAGTGCACAGGTTTATATCGGTGCAACGGGAAACAAACTCATTGGTTTGCTTCGGGAAGAACTAAACACTGCATTTGTTCAAGTTTTTGACAGTCAAAAGTTTCATTTGAGACACTTAGTTAGCAAGCAGACCTTTGTTTTCATCCCATTTCAGATTTACACGCCTCCAAATGTCACATTAAGGAAAAGCTAACTGTGTTTGACGGTTAACGTGTCAGTCAGGCGCCCTCTTTCTGTCTAAGCGGGTGATTCTTGGCCAGAATAAGCTGCTGTGTGTACAAGACTTTGATCAGTAGCCTAAAGTCTGGATATGACTTATTTAGAGGTTTATGTAGTACTTGTAAGAGCTTTTCCAAGTTTAGTAAGAACAGAAAACTTTTGATAAGTCGGGCAGGGAAAGCCGCTGCATGTGTGTAACTAGGAAAGCATGAAAGAGCAAACCGGATTTCAGCAGAATTGGCTGTTGTGTGTGTATGTGTGTCTGTTGATACAAATCCCCAAGTGCACAAGAGCAAGATTTCTGCCCGTTTAAGTGAACTTTTGAGTTGTCCCTCTTAGTAACTCCATCTGCAGTTATAAGAAAGCGTAGTGACCTCCTGCTGTTCTCCGTGATAACTAACACCCTGTCTTTGTCATCCGAGATTTTTCAGCTGTGCTCCCTGAATCACAGAGGGAGAGGAGGATCAGACAGGAGACGAAGGCTTGTGGGAATGGAGAGTCATTTTGTTCTTTCCTTCTAAAGTTCACTAGTTTCTTGCTCCAAAAATAGTTTTATATAATAATTTTCAAACCTAAAGCAACACAAGCATGCACTGTAATTCTGGAATAATTTGCATCTATGCATTTCATGTTCATTTTTATCCAAATTGTCATGCATTGCATTTTAAAGTATGCATTTTATCATTTCATTTGACTGGGAATCGAACCTATGACAGTGATGTTTCTAACACTATGCCCTATGTTTAGTGTATATATACAGACTATTGTTCAAAAGCTTTGGGTTGGTAAGATTTTTTTTAAATATAAGAAGTCTCTTCTGCTCACCAAGGTTGCATTTATTTGTTCAAAAATACATAAATTGTAATATTGTCAAATATTATTACAATTTAAAATAGTTGTTTTCTATTTAAATATATATATTAAAATATAATTTATTCCTGTGATGCAAAGCTGAATTTTCAGCATCATTACTCCAGTCTTCAGTGTCACATGAATTTAGGCCTAGGCGATAAAACGGTATCGATATTTATCGATGGTACACCTTCTTCGGTATCGATAAAAAAATTGTTCGATATAGCGCACGATATAGGCACGTGCTATGAGTGATGCAGACCGCACACACAAACACGAACACGTGCTGAAATGAGTGCTGTGCCTGCCTGTGATGAGGAGATTGTGAATAAAGAATGAATATTAGTCGAAATTAAAATAAACATTTGCATTTGAACGTTAGGTGTGCATCAGGGAGCGTCATCAGTGGCGTGCGAGATACAGTGATGATGTAAGTGACGTTGTTGCATTTTAATGCTTTGTTAGTCTACTCTAGCCCACGAGACGCGCCGCGGCTACGTTATTCATTCAAAATATTAGAGAAATATAGAAGCTCAATGCGGAGAAGATCTTCAATGGGTTAAAACCAAAACCAAGCCATTCACACAGAACGCATATTCAGCGCATTTTTTAGACGGACAAATATGACTGCCGCACTCGCGTCTCACAGAAGAGATGTATAGAAAGCCATGCAAAGTTAAAACTGTTTAAACTTTTAGAAAACACGTCACGAATTTGTGGAGGTTTATTCCTTTTTCACTGCGTCTCATATGTTTTTAAATGCAGTTTATGTGAATGGCGCTTCGGCTCTTTGGATTAAGCAATGCATAAATACATGATGCTGTTTTGTTCATAAATGTTTATGCAATTTACGAAATTATATTTGATTTTTATGAGTTCATTTAGACGTAATGCACGTTTTTATAGAGTTACTTCCTTGCGTTGTAAATTTAAATGCGCTGCATTATTTTGCTCATTGTGGCCTCGGGAGATAATTAGACCTATACAATAAAGACCTATTTAATCTGCATATAAAACATTAGAAATTAGATATTTGTTTAATTTTTATTGTGTTTGTTAAAACAAAAAAATATTTGTTGTTTGTCTCAATAAATTGTGTTAATTATAAATACAGTGGTTAAATAAAAAAAAAAATAACGAACAATATGAAACATTATATCGTTGATACATTTTTTAGCTATATCCCCCAGCCCTACACATGATCCTTCTAATAGAAATAATTCTAATATGTTGATTTGATGCTCAAGAAACGTTTCTAATTATTATCAATGTTGAAAACAGTTGTGCTGCTTAATTTTTGTTGAAACTGTAATACTTTTTTTTTTAAGGTTTTAAGGATAAATAGAAAGATGCAGATTTATTTTAAAAAATAAATATTTTGTAACGTTATATATGTCTTTACTGTCACTCTGTCACTTTGCATTCTTGCTGAATAAAATAAAAAGTTTGTAAGCAAAAAAATAAATATGATGCAGACTTTTAAATGGTAATATACATGTACTTGTACATTGTAAATATGTTTGTTTGCATGTTAACATCATTGTGCACAGATTTCAGAACTAGATCTTTTTGCTGTTTTTCTTGCTTTATAAATTATAGATTTTATTATATGGGGTAGGGTGGGTATTATTTACAGCTGCCCTTTGCCAAAACTGAATGTCGAATAAGCCAACACATCATTCCCCCACGTCTCCACGTCTCCTCCTGCTACCTCCAGAGAACATACATTTAACCCAAGTTAAGTCCGTGTTGGGGAGTCGCTAATAAAATGTAGCGATGCTACTAACTTAAAGGGGTGGTTGATTGCAATTTCACTTTTTTAATGTTAGTTAGTGTGTAATGTTGCTGTTTGAGCATAAACAATATCTGCAAAGTTGCGGTGCTGAAAGTTCAATGCAAATGGAGATATCGTGTTTTAAAATTCTGGACAAAAATTCTGCCTATAAAAACAGCTCGTAGCGGCTCGTTATTTCCTGGGTTTGTGACATCACAAACCCAGACAAACCCCACCCCTGGGAACATGCAACGAAGGGGGCGAGGTCATGCTGCGCTGCTTTAGAAAAGAGGAAGAGAAAACTAGAGGTGCACATAAAAATCTATTCATATATGAATCGTGATTCTGTCTTCTAACGATTCTAATGGATTCACAAGTTTCAAAATCAATGTTCTAAAGCAGCGGTTCTTAATACTGTTCCTCGCGTCCCCCTGCTCTGCACACGCTCTGCATCTCTCTCGCTCTCTCTCGCTCTCTCTCGCTCTCTCTCTCTCATTCTGCTCAGCTCCAACAACATCACGTATTTCTGAGGGAGGGGCTTCATAAAAGCAGGAAATGATCAGCGCGTTTATGGGAGAAGGGACAGAGCGGTGTGGAATAAAGGTAAATTATGTGAAAAATAATGTGAGAAGATCTTCAATGGGTTAAAACCAAAACCAAGCCATTCACACAGAACGCATATTCAGCGCATTTTTTAGACGGACAAATATGACTGCCGCACTCGCGTCTCACAGAAGAGATGTATAGAAAGCCATGCAAAGTTAAAACTGTTTAAACTTTTAGAAAACACGTCACGAATTTGTGGAGGTTTATTCCTTTTTCACTGCGTCTCATATGTTTTTAAATGCAGTTTATGTGAATGGCGCTTCGGCTCTTTGGATTAAGCAATGCATAAATACATGATGCTGTTTTGTTCATAAATGTTTATGCAATTTACGAAATTATATTTGATTTTTATGAGTTCATTTAGACGTAATGCACGTTTTTATAGAGTTACTTCCTTGCGTTGTAAATTTAAATGCGCTGCATTATTTTGCTCATTGTGGCCTCGGGAGATAATTAGACCTATACAATAAAGACCTATTTAATCTGCATATAAAACATTAGAAATTAGATATTTGTTTAATTTTTATTGTGTTTGTTAAAACAAAAAAATATTTGTTGTTTGTCTCAATAAATTGTTTTAATTATAAATACAGTGGTTAAATGTAAAAAAACAAATTATATTGCTTTGTTTTAAAAAAGGTTGTAAAAATGTCAATAATTATCAATAACGAACAATATGAAACATTATATCGTTGATACATTTTTTAGCTATATCCCCCAGCCCTACACATGATCCTTCTAATAGAAATAATTCTAATATGTTGATTTGATGCTCAAGAAACGTTTCTAATTATTATCAATGTTGAAAACAGTTGTGCTGCTTAATTTTTGTTGAAACTGTAATACTTTTTTTTTTAAGGATTCTGTGATAAATAGAAAGATGCAGATTTATTTTAAAAAATAAATATTTTGTAACGTTATATATGTCTTTACTGTCACTTTTGACCAATGCATTCTTGCTGAATAAAATAAAAAGTTTGTAAGCAAAAAAATAAATATGATGCAGACTTTTAAATGGTAATATACATGTACTTGTACATTGTAAATATGTTTGTTTGCATGTTAACATCATTGTGCACAGATTTCAGAACTAGATCTTTTTGCTGTTTTTCTTGCTTTATAAATTATAGATTTTATTATATGATTTGAGTATTGAAACTGACATTATGTTTTCAAAGTACATCAAGCCCTATATTTCAAAAGATCAAAGAAGATCCGATTTTTCAGGATATGACCCGGAAAGACTCCTGACTAAAACTGAGGACAAGAGACTGTATTTCAACCAAAGCATGTTTGTGATCTCTGTTCTGTTTGTGTTCATCAGAGGTCCAAAAGGAGTGTGGACGATGGAGGAGAGAGGTGAGACACCTCACTTTAACACCACGTTTGAGGACGCGCGTCCCAGCCTGACTCACATGGCCCTGCTGCAGCTGCAGAGGACAGGACACCTCAAATACCTCATCAGCCAGAACGTAGACGGCCTTCACCTGCGCTCCGGCTTCCCCAGGTAATGATGGATATTACACACCAGTCTGATTGGCTCGCTTCATGCCGTTCCCACGTCTCTCATACCGTTTCGATTAAAGTTCTGACCTCTGTCCTGCATGTGATGTCAGATGTGTCAAGTCAAGTCACCTTTATTTATATAGCGCTTTTAACAATACAGATTGTGTCAAAGCAACTGAACAGCATTATTTAGGAAAATAGTGTGTCAATAATGCAAAATGACAATAGTAAACACTCATTTTTCAGTTAAAGACAGTTCATCATTGAATTCAGTGATGTCAACATCCAGCTCAATTCAGTTTAAATAGTATCTTTGCAATCATTTGCAATCAAGTCAACGGTATCGCTGGAAATTAAGTGTCCCCAAGTAAGCAAGCCAGAGGCGTCATGTCATGTTAATTAGCTCTTTTAATTTTCTCTTCCCACAAATGAATGCTATCAGCATGTCTTGTTCTAGGCAAATGACTTGAAGCTGTTAATGTTGAATTTAGCATGTTTTATTCAGGCAGACGTAATTAAAAGCCCTCAGTCATAATCTTGTATTGTATTGTTTTATTGTTTTGTTATTTGTCCGGCTTATTATCGTTAAATAAAACTCTTAAAGGAACACTCCACTTTTTTTGAAAATAGGCTCATTTTCCAACTCCCCTAGAGTTAAATAGTTGAGTTTTACCGTTTTCGAATCCATTCAGCCGATCTCCAGGTCTGGCGGTAGCACTTTTAGCTTAGCTTAGCATAGATCATTGAATCTGATTAGACTGTTAGCATCTCGCTCAAAAATGACCAAAGAGTTCCTATATTTTTCCTATTTAAAACATGACTCTTCTGTAGTTGCATCGTGTACGAAGACCGACGGAAAATGAAACATTTCGATTTTCTAGGCCCATATGGCTAGGAACTATACTCATTCCGGCATAATAATCAAGGAACTTTGCTGCCGTACCATGGGTGCAGCAGGTGCAATGATATTACGCAGCGCCTGAAAATAGGCTAACTTCCGTCAACATAACCAACATGACCACCTGCTTGCACAGGGAGCGTGCCTTCCGTTGGAAGTTACCTAGCTGGGGACTATTTTCAGGCACTGTGTAATATCATTGCAAATCTCTTGCAATGAATTGCAAATTTCATAAACATAGTATATGAAAAATACAAAAATAACTGATTTGAAAATAAACTAGGCCATTATAATGGAAATGACAAAACTAGAAATTACAAAAACACAAATTACTAAAAATGTAATCAAATATACAAATAAAAACGAATCCAATAATAATAATAATAAAAATTATAATAGTATAAGAATAATACTAAAATAACACTGATTTGTATATAAACTAATCGAAATGTCATAACTAAAAGAAATGTCAACACAAAAATTATTAAAATTTTCATTAAAATTAAAATTGAAAATATAAAAATAAAAACAAAGTCAGTACTAAAACTAATTAAAGTACTAAAATAACTAAAACTTAATAAAAAATAAAAACAACTAACAGAAATGACAGAAACACACAAATTACTAAAACTTTAATTAAAAAGAAAACTGAAAATATAAAAATAAAAACTAATTAAAAATATTAATAAAACTCTAATAGTATATCAGTTATACTAAAATATTGATTTGAACTGATATAAACAACCCACAGTCATTTGCATATATCCGACAGAACTGTCATCATTTTCTCATCCTTTCTTTAATTGCTTCTTTTTCTCTCATTTTTGATTTTGATTCATTACTCATTCTTCTGTTCTTATTGGGTTTGTTTACTTCTCTCTGTATCTGCTAGGGATCGATTGTCAGAGCTGCACGGGAACATGTTTGTTGAAGAATGTGAGAAGTGCGGCAAGTATGTAATCGTTCTCTGAACGTGGTAGTGAAGTCTGTCTGCACACGTCAAGAGCAAGAATAACCACATCTTCTGATGCAGTTTAACTAGTACAAGACATTCAGGACTGTTTTAAACTGGTTGCTTTGTTACTGGTTGGCAAGGGTAGATAATGATGTAAAAAGACAGACTTTAAATGATTTATTTGACAAGCAAGCTACAGTGGTGGACACTACCTTCAGTCTAACTTAAGTTTGTTTCAGCAAAGTTTCAAATAACTTAAAAAAGAACACAAATCTAATTTGTAGGTGAAGTATGTAATTTTGTATGTTAAATATGTTGTCTTAGTTTAAAGCAAAATTCTAGATTCGTTACAGGTTAAGCTCAGTCAAAAGCATTTGTGGTTCATTACCACACACATTATTTCCATTTGTCCCTGCTTTAAAAAAGAAATCAATCAATTAATTAATTAATAATGATAATAAGCTAAACATATTCCAGTGGACATTAATGGGGCCAGTCTGTAAAGATTAAAATGCTTTGTTTCCTCATCAAAGCAGATTTGGAGAAATGTACTGTATCATTACATCACTTGCTCACCAATGGATCCTCTGCAGTGAATGGGTGCCGTCAGAATCAGAGTCCAAACAGCTGATAAAGACTTAACAATAATCCGCAAGTAATCCACACCACTTGTGGTTTGTGATGTTTTTATCAGCTGTTTGGACTCTCATTCTGACGGCACCCATTTACTGCAGAGGATTTATTAGTGAGCAAGTGATGCAATGCTACATTTCTCCAAATCTGTTCCCATGAAGAAACAAACTCATCTACATCTTGGATTGTGTTGACTGAAATATTCCTCTGATCTTCAAAGATTTTATAAACTGTAAGACATTTTGTAGGTTGACTTAGCGCTGTTTGAAAACTTTCAAAACATTGCTGTTTATTTGTCAAATTCTGATTTAAAATCGAATCCCACACAAAATATAATCCCACCAGTTGTGGGCAGAAACATAGGTAAATAAAGAACACAAAATCTATTTACAGAAAAGTCTTTGATGAATTTACAGTCTCCAAAAACATTGATTCAGGTTTATTTTTCTAGTGCACACTGCATGTTTGACATTGAACATGTGCAGTATTGATTGTGTATGTGCATCATAGCTCTGTGTCTAACAGATAAAGCCTGTGAGAATGCTGAGCTATTGATCACTCACACAAATCTCTATCGAAAGAGGCAGTGGGTCATGTGCAGGTACTGTCACAGCGATAAGCACTTGTGCCCTGGGCTGTTTCAGGCAATATGTTCGGGACACTGTAATTGGAGTGATGGGTCTGAAGCCAACCGGACGCTACTGCGATGTCACACGCTCAAGAGGACTCCGATCTTGCAGGTGATTGCACCGTTTTAGAGGAATGAACCATAACAGGTCCATCATGATTTTCCGTGATGGTGGGAGCCAGCCAAATTCATGCCTCTCACACACAATTTATTAGGGAATGTATTATTTAGTATATGTCTATAGTAAAAAAATATATACATGTAGTGTCACATCTCTCTACCCAAGCTCCAACAAAACGCTATCGTTCAAAAGTTTGGCATCCATCCATAAGATTTTTGTTTGTTTGTTTTTAAAGACGTCTCTTCTGCTCAACAAGGTGGCATTTATTTGATAAGCAGTAACGTGAAATATTATTACAATTTAAAATGACAGTTTTCTATTGTAATGCATTTAAAAATGCAATGTATTCCTGTGATGCAAAGCTGAATTTGCTGCTCAAAAAAAACCCATTTCTGATTATTATCAGTGTTGAAAACAGTTGTTAGACAAATAAAAAGGCGTTTTTTTCAGCGGCTAACATTGGATGACGGACATTAGTAGAGCTGTTAGAAGCCTGCTAGTGTCTGTATGTGCTGAGGGCCCTCAGGAGTCCTAGTGGTCAGCTCACACTGTTTGCATCGAGGGACCTGCTTATTTGTCATTGGCAGTCTCAGGCTGTGCTTCCTATGGCTTTAATGGCTTCTGGCAGTCTGAGGCCCCAGGGCACCGGCCCCTTCGCTTCATAATCCAGCCCTGAGCGTCCTCAGACATTGCAGCAGGCATGTGTTACACCTTCAGAAACTAGATTTAGAAAAATCTTAAAATTCCAAGAAGTCCGGTGTACGGGCGCTCTCATATGTGCAGAATGCTGTCAAAGATTATGTCATACTTATGGGCTAAAATTAAAAACAAACTCCATATTTGACACATTTTTGTGGAGTTTGACTAATTTTTTTTTTTTAATGGTTTTAGGTTTAGTTAATGATAATAGCCCTGGTAATCACAAACGACTGTAAGTCACTAGTCAAAACAGGTAATTGATATTGACATTGATGCGCTGATTTCTTAAATTCACATGCTGCCTCACGAAAACAGTACAACAAGATTAAACTCACAAAGACCTCTGTCTGACGTATCTATACATAAAACATTATAAAAATAGCAAGCACGCACCCTGCGCTTACGCCCCCTCAGATTTCTGTGCCTGTCATGAGCTGTTCGGTCTCATCACCTTGTGTTTCTCTGCAGAGGGAAGCTGATCAGCACTATATTGGACTGGGAGGACTCACTGCCTGACAGAGACCTGAGTAGAGCTGATGAAGCATGTCGGTAAGGAAGAGAAATATCCTGAGAATGAGAAGGTGTGATCAACAATACAGCGAGAAGGCCATTATATAGGGAATCAAGAATGGTGCTCGTTAAAAACGAGGCAAGTAGCGATTACAGGTCTAAAATAAGATTAGGGATTGACAGGGGAATTAAGGAAAAGCAATTCAGAGGCATTTACTAACTTTACTATTCCTTTTATGTATAACTTTTGACTAGTTGATTGCTGGGGTATTACAGTTAAATAGAATAAAACCATTATTATTATTATTTTTTGATTACTTGAAATAAAATGCCCATTAACTAACACTAAAATAAATATATATACACACAGTGGGTACGGAAAGTATTCAGACCCCCTTAAATTTTTCACTCTTTGTTATATTGCAGCCATTTGCTAAAATCATTTAAGTTAATTTTTTTTCCTCATTAATGTACACACAGCACCCCATATTGACAGAAAAACACAGAATTGTTGACATTTATGCAGATTTATTAAAAAAGAAAATCTGAAATATCACATGGTCCTAAGTATTCAGACCCTTTGCTCAGTATTTAGTAGAAACACCCTTTTGATCTAATACAGCCATGAGTCTTTTGGGGAAAGATGCAACAAGTTTTTCACACCTGAATTTGGGGATCCTCTGCCATCACAGCAGGAAGTACAGAGCAGTAAATCATGATTTTAGGTTAAGATATTGCAAAACTACGATGAATTATTGACATAATTTATACATATGTGCTTCTGTAGCCAAACTTCAACTGTATATTCCAGCAATGATAGATTATAGACTTCATATCCGTACATCAGATTGATCTCACTTCCTGTACAACGCTGTTGACCATCAAGCTTGTTGATGTGTTGCATGCAGATGGTTTAGTTTATCAAAACTCTTTTAATTACTTCTAACTGCTTCAGTTTCAGGTCAAATTAATAGATAGGAGTGCTCAGTCTTGATCATTGTATCAACAGCACCAGATCCAGCTTAATCATTTTACAGCGAATGTACTGCAGTCTCACAAGACTCAGCACAGAGACACACACGCATACAAAACATCCCGCAACACCTGCTGCACGTCTGACCCGCGACTGTCCTCTGGGCTTCCACATGCTTTCAAAATCCACTGGAAAGCTTGAAAGAAAAGAAATGTGACCTTGGAAGTAGAAAGCGCTTGAATGTGGGTTTTTTCTGTCTTTATTGTAATGCACAACAGTTACAATTTAAGTCCCTCCAGTGATTTTATTGAATATAATATGTTTGATAATTTGTTTAGCCTGTCAGGAGTTCAGTTTAGGGCACAGTACTACAAAGCTGCATGTGTCTTTCTGTAATATAACTGTTTCCTAGTTTACATTGAACATTGGAATGTGTGTTATTAAAGGAATAGTTCACCTAAAAATGTAAATGTACTCACCCTCAGGCCATCCAAGATGGTGATGAGTTGGTTTCTTCATCAGAACAGATTTGGAGAAATGTAGCAATACATCACTTTCTCACCAATGGATCCTCTGCAGTGAATGGGTGCCGTCAGAATGAGTCCAAACAGCTGATAAAAACAATCAAGTCCATAATAACGCTTACACCAGCAAAAAAATGTATTTATTTAGAACCTTTTTGACTTGTAAACGGTGCTTGATCTGTGCATATTGCTCTCCTGATTCAGACGAGAAAACTTTTTCACTGGAGAAAGCGATATTATGGATAGAAGCAACAGTTTGAATTTAAAGACGTCTTAAAGGTGCAGTAAGCCATTTCTGAGAAACGCTGTTGATATTTGAAATCACCAAAACAAACACGCCTCTATTTAAAAGGATCACACCCCTATTTTGATAGCTCCGCCCCCAAATTCACAAACATGCTGTGCAACACAGGCACCTCCCCCATCACGGGTGAACACGCCCCTTATTGCTGATTGGCTACAAGTGTGTTTTGGTGCTCAGTCCGATCCACTTCCAACAGTGTTTCAGAACAGAAATCGCTTGCTGCTCCTTTAATGATGGATTTGTTTCTTACAAACATGCAGCTTTCACAACAAGACATTAGTTGATTGGCTGGATTACTTGTGGATTATTGTGATGTTTTTATCAGCTGTTTGGACTCTGATTCTGACGGCACCCATTCACTGCAGAGGATCCATTGGTGAGCAAGTGCATAATGCTACATTTTTTCAGCTTCATTCATTGGCTATGAAACTTTTTTTGCCTGCGAAATTCATTTAAAGGTGACAGCAGCTTTACAGATATGTATTTTAAATGTGTTTTAGGTAAAAGCTTGTCTGAGCATGTAGGTTTCACAGTGGACGCACGGCACACTGAGATTGATAGCGTGATGCCGATGAGTTTCCCATGACCACATGAGATTCGAAAACCAATCAAGCACCTACGAGCTCCTGATCAGACTTTCAGAGAAGATTTGTGTTTCTCACTTTTGCTGTGTTTCACTCTTTCAATTTTCTCTCACAGTCTGAGGTCACTTGTGGTTTCTTTATAAGAAAGGTTGCAGATGTTTCTTGCCTGCTGCAGTCACTCACTACATCTGGATTTTGGATGTTGTGGTGAAAGGAAGGTTCAGCTAATCCCTTTTAGTCATGCATTTAGAAAGCTGTTCTTCGTCCAGGTCTTAGCAGTTCATGGGGAATTAATGGAGCTTTTAGTGAACCAATTTTCATTATGTTGTGTACAGGATAATTATCTCCTTACGTATAATTAATTAAACATAAGTATTGTTCTTTTGAAGAGTGTACTTTATTGTTAATGATGTTCAGCTAAAAAGAGACTTCAGACAAGCTTAGAAACGGTGATGGAAAAAAGACAGAGCTTTTGAGCTATTACAGCTGAACTCATACAGTTCATTTCAGGTCTGTGAATGTCTTACAGCCTTTTCTCCAGCATTGTTGCAAGTTGCTATTCTGTGTTGTTTTCCGCAATGTCAGGATAGCAAACAGTTCAACACTTGTGAATGGAAAAAAAAGGTAAACTAGCCATCCAACAACTGACTAGTCAACCATTTTGACCCATTCTGCTCATTTTAGAATTTTCTATATAGATTTTATTTCAAATGACCAGACAATTAATTAAACTAATTTATTATTATTATTATTGTACATAACAAAAAAGCAGTATTTTATTAATTTAAGATTATTACAATGTGTGTATTTTATTTGTGTAATTATGTTGTTAGGGTTAGGTTATATTTTCATTTAAAGTAGTGCTGTCAAACGATTAATCGCAATTAATCGCATCCAAAATAAAAGTTTTTGTTTACATAATATATGTGTGTTCTGTGTATATTTATTATGTATATATAAATACACACACATGCATGTATATATTTAAGAAAAATGTTAAGTTTATACATTTAAAATATTTAGATATATCAATTATATTAATATAAGTATATACATGGAAATATTTTCAAAATATATACTGTATGTGTGTGTATTTATATATACATAATAAATATACAAAAAACACACATGTATTATGTAAATAAAAATGTTTAATTTGCATGCGATTAATCATTTAACAGCACTAATTTAAAGTAATGTGTTTTGTTGTGTGTGTGTGTGTGTGTTTATATATACACACTGCATTTAATTTATTTAAAATGCCATAAAAGCAGTAGTGTTGTTATTTTACTATTAAAATAAATCTGAAATATAAATATTACTTTAATAATAATAAAAATATTAATAATATTAGTTTAATTACTAAAATTGCTAAAACTGAAACAAAAATAAAGCAGGATAGAGATTGTATAAAAACTACAAAACCACATTTAAAAATTACTAAAATGAAAATACAAAAATAAAAGCTAATTCAATATATTAACAAGTTATATGGTAGTAAATAATGCTAAAATAACACTGAAAGGCTGTACAAAAAATATTACATGAGACATTGTTCTGAATTGTTGCTACAATTATCATATGTCATTTATTTATTTATGTGGAATTTCTTGATTTTTCTTTTGCCTTTGGGGTGAAGTGTGACTGAGACATGTTCTTGACAGGTTTTGCATAATAATGATACAGATTTGCATCAACAAAGGAACCATGTGATGATGAATGGAATCACAATGAAACTGGATCGGAACAACAGGTTATTTGCTGTATAATGAGCACCTGAAGGTTTTAGAGTCATGAATAAAGCCTTTTATTGGTCCTCATGAAGCAGGAACAGACCGTTAAAAAGACACTCGCACTCACAGAGCTTGAATGCAGACGCTGACCAGACTGTAGCTTGATAGTTATGTGTGCATTATGACTGTAGGTGAACAAACTGAGGCCAAGACTCATGTGAACGGCACCTATTCACTGATTCTGAGAAAAGAACAACAGACCCCAGCAGCTGATGCTCCACGTCTCTTTTCACAGGCGAGCTGACTTGGCCTTGACGCTGGGAACATCTCTTCAAATTAAACCTAGCGGAGATCTGCCTCTTCTAACCAAACGCACCGGAGGGAAGCTGGTTATAGTCAACCTTCAGCCTACCAAACATGTACGTCTCACCAACACGCACTCCTTCATGGAAACAGTACCTCAAAACAGACATGAAAAAATTCATTTCAATTCAAATGTAATTAAAATGAATACTTATTTGAAATTTTTTTTCAGCATTAAATTGCTCAAAAGTGACATTATGAAGCAGCACAGCTATTTTCAACATTGATAATAATCAGAAATGTTTCTTGAGCAGCAAATCAGCATATTAGAATGGTTTCTGAAGGATCATGTGACACTGAAAATTCAGCTTTGATCACAGGAATAAATTACATTTTAAAATATATTGCAATAGAAAACAATTATTTTAAATTGTAATAATATTTCACTTTTTTTTTTTTTTACTGTATTTCTGGTCAAATAAATGTAGCTTCGGTGAGCATAAGAGACATGACATGCAGACAAAAATATATTTATCGTAACCACAAATTAGGAATTTGTTCCATAACATTGTCCTCATTTCCTCACCCATTTACAGTTGTTCCAAACCTGCATGAATTTCTTTCTTCAGTTGAACACAAAAGAAGATATTTTGAATAATGTAAGTAACTAAAATGTTTCTGGCTACATTGTTCTAATTTGTTCCCTTGTACTAATTTGTTCCCTAATTGAAACAAGGGAACAAATTAGTACAACGTGGCCATAATGTACTAAAATGAGGGAACAAATTAGTGCAACGTTGTCATAATTTCCTAAAATGAGGGAACAAATTAGCACAACATGGTCATGATTTACTAAAACCAATGAACAAATTAAGTTACAAACAAAGGAATTAACCAAGCAGTTGCTGGTCCCCATTGACATAGTATGAAAATACAATGGAAGTCGATGGGGACTAGCAGCACACTAGTGTCTTTCTCTTAGTCCTGACCGACATGAAAATACACATGCTTATGCAAACACAAGCAGCAGTTTGAAATCTGTCAGCACGTGCGCTGTAAGATTAGCGTCCTTCAAAAGCACAGCTGCGCTAAACCCCATCTGACTATTCGTGCTTATTAAAACAATTTTGATTAAAGGGGTCATATGATGCTATTTTAAAGATCATTATTTTGTGTAACAGAATATGTTGACATGCTTTAATGTTCAAAAAACACATTATTTTTCAAATACTGTACATTATCAGAGTTCCTCTATGCCCCGCCTCTCTCAAACACGTCGTTTTCAACAAAGCCCCCTCCTTTGACAAGCGCAGTCTGCTCTGATTGGCCAGCTGACCCAGTGCATTGTGATTGGCCGAACACCGCAAGCACACGTCGGAAATGTAACGCCCCTTACCATAATCGCGAGCGTCAGCTTTCAAAGTAAATATCAAGACAGTTAATAATGTCGTTATTTTTAGCATCAGTTCAAGCCCGAAAGGGTCGCGTGACAGACACAGTGATGATGCAGTACACAAGCCGCGGTTAAGACAGCTGACGTGCTATGATTTCTGACAGACAGTTCAAGTCAAGTCAAGTCACCTTTATTTAAAACTCCGCATTTGAACAGTCAATAGCAAATACTTCAACTAGTAACAAAACATACTTACAGTCGCTGATTCAGAAGCGCCAGATTGTCATAGCAAAGTCGGAATTGACCCCTTTTTTTTTTTTTTAGAAATAG